CAACTCCAACTCTTCTTCAACAATGGTGGCTGCCAACCTTTGACATCTTGGATGAGTGCACATGGTTGGTGCAATAGCAAATGGTTGTTGCACATTAATGGCAACCAACCTAACACTTTCAAGCTTCCATTGCTATATTTGACAGAAAGCCACCTTTATGTAGTGTCTGTTCTCCACTTTGGTAAGGTAATGCATCTTGATTTGCCACTTTAAATGCTTCCAGTGCGTTAGCCACCATGCAAGGAGAGCAAGGGTTCGATCTGTAGGCTGGTTTTTACGTAGAAATAAAGAATTTCATTGGACGTACTTCTGAATGACTTGAATTCCTCTTGAGCTTTGTGGAATATACGACTCCAACTGACCTATTCACACTTTGGAGGGAGTCTGATCGATCCTAAGAATAATTTTCCTTGCTTACTGTTATTATTTCTTCACTTGCATTCAAAGCACAAGGAATGCCTTCTTAAGATAAGGACTATCTTTGCCATAGTGTGTTTATTTTCTTCTGTATGAATCTTCTAATGTGTGATGACTTGCAACATTAAGGAGTGAGTTTCATAGAAATTTTAATAAGCCATTTACACAGAAATCCTATCCTTTATTCACAATGGAAGAAATGTATGCCAAGTGTTGCATATTTGCGTGGATCTTTTGCTACATGAACTGACTCTTTGTGGTCTATGATGATAGTAGTACGTAGCTAAAAAGAAGTATCACTCTAATTCAGAAACTTAGTATTGTCATGTTCTAGAGAGGTGTGTGGGCACGTATTTCTGCATAGGGGAAATTCCAAAAAAGAAAAAACGAAAAGAAAAGAAAAAGACTAAATTCTAACTTGGGGAGCACAAGGATGTCTTGTGTGGTGAAGTTGAAAGCTTCAAAGCAAAATGAAAAAAACCCTGATCTCTACAACACTACCGGTCAAAAACTTTGAATTAGAGTCTGTCTTGAATCAAAGATGTTTGATTAAATTTTTCAAAAAAATTAAAATTTTATACTTTTAAATAGTTTTGGTATGCGTACTCATGTTAAAAATATTTTTTAATATATTTTTAATTAATAAAAAACTTTAAAAAACAACCAGTTCTCCGTCAAAAAAACAACGTACAATCTTGGGTTATTGCTAGGAACTCTGTTTAACGGAAAGAGGACTAGTGTTACAGTGTTAAATGTGCACGGGGTGCACACCTAAGGCATGCTGTCCAATATCAGGCCTAAGGGTGCTGGCAGCCATGCCAACGATGGGATAAATGAGCAGCGTAGATTTATGCGGCTATAAGTTTGTCAAAGGAAACATCGGCAGCGCAGATTGCTGGGCTTGACGATGGAATGTCCAGGCCAGAATGGAAGACTCGTCAGTGGCATAGGCTGGCGAGAACTGGGGCTGTCGAGAAATGCGAGGTAGCGCAGGATGTTGACAAACATGGGCTTGGCGATGGAACGTTCAAGCCAGACAAGGAAACTCGTCAGGGGCATAGGCTGGCGAGGACTGGGGCTGTCGAGGAATGCGGCAGCACAGATTGGTGAGGTCTAAGGGCTTGGCGATGGAATGTTCAAGCTAGACAGGAAAACTCGTCTGGGATATGGGCGGACGAGAATTGGGGCTGTTAAGGAATTCAGCAGCGCAGACACTAGGAGCCTGCGCGTAGATGGGAATTCGGCAGCGCAAGATTTGGCTAGCTTGCACGCAGATGCGAATGCGGCAGTGCAGACATTGGGGCCTGCACGCAGTTGCGAATTCGGCAGCGAAGGAATTGGGGCCTGCACGCAGAAGCGAATTTGGCAATGCAAGATTGGGGCCTGCACGCAGTTGTGAATTCGGCAGCGCAGGATTTGGGGCCTGCACGCAGAAGCGAGTTGGGCAGTGCAAGATTGGGCAGCCTGCACGTAGATGTGCATTCGGCAGCGCAGACATGGGGGTCTGCACGCAGACGCGGATTTGGCATCACAGTATTTGGCGACTGTACCCAGGGTGCGCACTCGGCAGCGCTCAAGAGCTTGCTCAAGTTAGGGGCTTGACTTGGCAAGATCTAAAACTTGGACGATGGACTGTCCAAGGCATGTGGGTGATTTAGCAGCAAATGAAGCTAGAGCTGGCAAATGGAGCTGTCAGGCAAGCATGCAGAAAGTGGGAGCATAACTGGGGTGTTTCCAAGTTGCTAAAATCATGAAGCACATGGGGGAGGAAGTTCTCCACTATATCCTGGAAATAGGGATATGGGTGAGCCACAAATGATCATGGGGATCATGGGGGAGTAAGTACCTATTATGTCCTGAAATATGGGGATCATGGAGGTGCCCCGCAGCTCACATACTTGGCTATAAATGGTGATGGTAATTCTTTGTTGTATAGGGAGAATACATAGAGAATAGAATGCATAGAGAGGAAATAACGTATGTAAACTTGTTGGTGTAGCATGCGAATTCTGTGCATAGCACACGTTGTGTAATCCTTTGTTGATGAGATAAATAAAGGTTGAAAGGTATTCTTGTATTCTCAGTGTGCTTGGTTAAGAGCAATTCTACTTGTATATTCCGCTTGTCTTTAACATGGGAATTTTATTGTTACTATTACTGATGGACTATATCTGTCAGTATTTGACAAGGAGTTCTGAAATATTGACCATTCATGCCACAATGATTGATGGATATTCCGTTGGTGATTACTGATGAACATACAAATAGAATTATTATGTCTGTAAAGTTCTCGCAGGAAATTTGTTTTGGCCCGCTTCGCTGTTTGGAAGACTGTTAGTGTTGGGTTTTTTTTTTAATTTCAGATAGAATTACTAACAATCAAAATTTCAACATACGTGTTCTATTGGTGAGGTTGTCGAGAAATATTTTACCTATGCATTGCACGCCTTATACAGACGGAATGAACCCGTCAATAAAACTATTAAATGGTGTAGTGCATCATGTCTGCTTTATCCTTTCCATATATCAGCTTGCAAATCTTCTTAACAAGCCTCCTCACGAGCATCTTCTTACTCGATCATGCAGGCCCACCAAATTTAAGGGAAGGTGTTAGATGGATTTCCTCCACTCTTTATATAAGTTTTGATTATTAGTAATTATATTTTTAATGCTATTTATAATTCATGTAACAATCAAAAACCATTTTCTACACCAGGTGTTTGTCTTTTTTTAAGAATGAGTTATGTTATGCAGTGGGCAGAAGTGTATAAGGAGTCAAAAGTATGCACCCAAGCATGCTTTGACCATTCTGAACAACATGCTGCTTCCAAAAAGGCTTTTATGCTTGCATGGAACAATTGAGGGGGTTATTGGATGTAGGTTACTATTTTTATTTTTATTCCATGCTTTACAACTAATATCTATTATTGCACGTGTTCTCTGCAGCTTTTTTTTATGCTTTTTAAAACTTGAAACCACTCCTTTGATTAAGGAAAATGTTGATAAATTAAGGTTCCGTTTGTTTGCAGGAAAATTATTTTTTTAAAAAAAAGTGAATTCCGGGAAAATAAATTTCTAGAAAATGAATTATTTTTCGATGTTTGGTAGTGTTATGGAAAATGAATTGGAAAACACTTTCAAGTGTTTGGTTATGTTATGGAAAATGAACTAGAAAATAATTTATTAATGTTTTATTTTTCTCAAGTTTATT